TCAGAAGGCTGGAATAAAGAAAAGAAACAAGGACATAATCTTTTCCTAATTTGCAAGACGCACATTCGATGCTGTACCTAATGTGCATAGAGTAAATCTTCAATGTTATTGTATTAGTAGAAAAAACTTGAGGTACGAAAGCACAGCTTGTCGATAATGCTTACGCCTCAATGATAAGTAAAGACACTTCATATTTTTTTTCCAAAGCATTAAATGACACTTTCTAAGTGTCCTAACTCCTCTGCACTTCACACCCTGCCATTTGATAGCCAATAGCTATTGAATTAATGTATTGCGAATAAATGTCCAATAAACTGACTGCATCGTTTAGATAATCATTTGATTGACCATAAAAAACATTAGAAGCTCCGAGATTAATCCAATGCACTGGCATAATTATCAAAAAAATTCTTTTGCTATTTGAGAAGACGAACATTCACAAATGTTTATGATAAACATCATGAGAATAACTTTTACACAAACAATTCTTAATTGCTTTTACAAAACTCTAATCAGGAGATAATTATGATGAGAAAAACAGTAAACAAGATGACTCTATAATGGCTGACCGCACTTAGTGAAGCCAATCTTTGACGCAGTTAATACGCCATTTCTATATTTTCCCTAAATTTGTGACAAACAAGTCGCTATCATTATGACTCAATGCTCATAAGTAGACTAAAAATTTCGTTTTTTTCTGTAAGCGAAAATTTATCTGCATATATCTCAAGTTCCTTTGATGCAAATTATGTAAGTTAGCGGCGCAGCAAGTCCTTCGTGGATCCCAGCAAATGGCGCGAGTTTTTCAATTCACTGTTGGTCCCACTGCTAGGCAAGACACTTTATCTACATAATTTAACTTTTTGCACAAAGTGTAAATTGTAAGTCAGTAAGATTCTAGCATATGTTATATTATGGATGTTGCAGGTAGGTTATGTCAGAAAATCAAAGTTAACACAACGTTGTATTGTAGCAACAATATTTATTTGGAAATTACGCTATATACACATTTTTATGGTTCTAGAAAACTGACCAAACATAAGGCCCAATTAAAAAAAATCAATAGTTTATCACCATCGTTCGCATGTCTTCTATGCTACTGGAAAAAAATATTTTTTAATTTTTTTTTTTTTCATTTTTTTTATTAAATTAGTAGATATTGTTTGTATTATCTCAATCATC